CCCAGCAAGATATTATACTTTTAAGGCAATGGTTTTGTGAATAACTAACCGTCTCTCCGTATTTGGTAAGTTATTTCCACTCTAAAAGTAAAGCTTAGTGATTGAAATACATTAATAAAAAGAGAATTTCTGGGTAAATAAAAATGTAAAAGAATAAGTGTCCTTTAAGCTTTTATAGGAAAGTAAGTTTTATTTGATGTCAAGAACTTTAAAATAGTATTTCTATCTCATGGCACCACAGTTCACATTGTCAAATATTAGTTGTTATAATTTGATAATGAATGAAACTACTTCTACCTGTTTATGAGAGGACTCTGCCATTTCATCACAGGTTTAAGAAAACCATTTTAAATTGAAAAAGGATCCTGATTTTTAAATATTAGGCAAACCTATGTTGTTTCCGATACTGAAAGGAATCCCGAAGAAATTTTATGATGTGAAAATGTCCAGGAATGCTATTCATTACAACAATATTTGAAAAGCACTATCTCTTGGTGCATCTTTTATCCTCCCATAAAAACAACCATCCTATGAAAAATATAAGAGGTACTATTATAGAAATATTTGAAATCATATATTTGTTCTTATATACAAGGAAGACACTTTATTTATTCTATAGATATAAAAACTTGAAAAGGTAAGGGGCTAGATATATGCAAATTTCAATTAGGATTTTGAAAAAAATGTCTATGATATAATAGAATGATATAACAGATGATATGATATAACAGAATATTAAGTGAAGTGAGGATAGTATTGGTTACTTTTCTGGAGGTCTTAAGATGTCTGTTATGGAGGTCAATCTGTGTGTCCTTCCACATCAGCTCATCTGAATGGCCTTCTGAATCCTTTGGTGCAGCCTTTTTACTGAATCCAAACTTTACAGAACAAATCCTTTTAATAAAGTTCTATAAAGTTTGGATTTGATCAAGGAGCCACCCTTGGGGATCTGAGGGGGCACAGGTTCTCCACCCCTGGTTCAGACTATAACATCGGTAAAGTTTTGACTGGCTTGATCTTTGACCTGACCAGCTCTGTCATACCATGTGAACTTAGGTAGAGCTTAGAATATTGACTATGTGATTTAAGAAATGTGCTCTAAAACAAATCATCAGGAAGTCATGAAAATGAAAGAAAATAATAAGATAATTTTGAGAAGGAAATTTCAATTTTAAATTATTGCAGGTAAGCAATGTAAATCCAGTTATTAAAAAAATTAAGGATGAAAGCTTAATGGCCACTACAATATTATTATTTTTTTTATTTCAGGATATTATGGGAGTACAAATGTTTAGGTTACATATATTGCCCTTGCCCCACCTGAGTCAGAGCTTCAAGCGTGTCCATCCCCCAGACGTGTGCACTACACCCATTATGGATGCATATACCCATGTCCTCCTCCCCCCTCCCAACCGCCCGACACCCGATGAATGTTACTACTATATGTGCACTTAGGTGTTGATCAGTTAAAACTAATTTGATGGTGGGTACATGTGGTGCTTGTTTTTCCATTCTTGGGATACTTCACTTAGTAGAATGGGTTCCAGCTCTATCCAGGATAATACAAGAGATGCTATATGACCATTGGTTTTTGTGGCTGAGTAGAACTCCATGGTATACATATACCACACTTTATTAATCCACTCATGTACTGATGGGCACTTGGGTGGTTTCACATCTTTGCAATTGTGAATTGTGCTGCTATAAACATTCTAGTGCAGATGTCTTTTTTATAGAATGTCTTTTTTGGGGTAGAGCCCCACTACAATATTATCAATAATATTGATTAGATCTCTAGATATATTCATCCTATATAGCTACAACTTTTTTACTCTTTGACAAATATTTGTTGTTTCAAGACGCTAAGTGTTGGAGTAATTTGATATACTACATTGAATAAATTATCTTTAATCTTCTGATACCTTGCTCACATACCAAAATCAAACAGAGGTATTTTTGACAACCATTTCTAAATATGAATATTTTTACCATGTTAAATCTGATACTTTGAAACTTACAGTTAAATCAGTCACTGTGTTTAAGTTCCATTGGTTCATTTCAGTATTTAACAGAAGGTTGCAGTGAAGGGAACTCTTTTAAATTTCCTTCAGTAGTGCTAATAGTGTCAGTTATGTTTTTAAAAGTATTAATCAGTTAGCACTTATGGAGACCTTGTATAAAAGGTCAATGCTAACTTATTTATCTGACAATAAAGAAGTCAAGGTAATGTTAAGTGGCTTGTCATAGATGTTACTAATAAATATTAGAATAAAACTACAGTGTTGTTTCTCATCTTATTTTCCGCATTGAAGGACATACATAGCTAAATAACACAGAATTATTATTATCGTTATTATTATTATACCCAACTTATTCCACAACTTGTTGAGGCAACATACTCCAAATGCAGTAAATTATAAAACACTAGATTATAGAAGAAGAAATTCTTGGTGCAAAAGTGCAGTATGGATATGAAGATCAATTAATCTATTCGCGTTCTGAACATTTTAGCAGTCAATAAATAAATAAAAATATGATTAGTTGCATGGTTCATTATCTATTCTAAAACAATTCCAAAGGTTTTCTCAAATTAATTGCCATGTAGGGCTTCTCAGGTAATATTGTTAGACAATATGCTTAAGAGCAAATATAATGAAAATGAAGCACTAATTTTAATGCAGTTGTTTCTTGTAGCTTCCCTTGATTAAATCTGCAACACAGAAAATGAAAGTGATTCTTCAAGGTCAAGTTCACAAACATACTGCTCCAAATACATAGATTTCTGACCATCAACTAGATTCATTTATGTGTTCTACTTTTCCTGGAGTTAAAGTTTTACTGGATAGTCTTCAATTGACAATATTGGTTTTCTCGCCCAGCTTATAAATAACAGTTGAAAACGTGAGTTTGAATTGCTGACATTTTTGTTTGGTTATTAATGCTGTCACTATCTGCTTAGGACATAGGACCCTTCATCATGGAGCCTTTAATGAGGTGGAGGAGGAGCGGACTTCACCTGGACTCCTTTTGTGAAGTTTAATCTTTTTGAATAATGGAAAAAGCATTTGATTTTAGGGGTCATAGACAACCTTCACAGACCCAAATTATGATGATCCCAAGATTGTTAAGGTATCATTAAAAGGTGATTTTTGTGGGTGGGGGCAGTGGCAGATTAAGAACAGTACATCTGGAGAAGGTACATTCATTACACCTACTTAAGCATATAGAGGAGAATGTCAGCAGATAATACCTATAAGTGAGAATTCTTTTTAAAAAAGTATCAGTGTGCTAATCAGGACTAGAGATATAATTAGCCTAACAGGAGAATTAAAGTAGCTGAAATTCATTACCTGTGAGGGGAGGGAATTAGTATAGAAATGGATAGATCAGAACTTTTTGTTTTCTTATTTTATTTTTACTTCCCTTTGTATTTTGGATAATACATGCAGTGTTTCTTTGACATTATGTAATATGCAGACATATTGCTTTGATACAAATTAATATTCATTTAGACTGCACTTAGTATAGTCTCCAGTAAATAATAGACAGTTAAAAAATGTTGGTTCCTTCTTGTGAGAGCTCCAACTTAAATCTCTCAAGACGTATATCATTTTTAGATATAAAGCCTAGGGTCTACTATGCATATATCCTACTTGTTTTCTTTTTCTTCCTGGCTCTTTCTCCCTCTTTTAGTTCATAGTGGTGAGTGCTATCTGATGAAGACCCAGGAAACTACATACTGGTGTTGAAAGAGCAAGTTGTGATTTAAAATTGTGAGGCAGAGTGCTGACGTGATGCTTAGTAAAGGAAGGTTTCGAATTGGCTGGGATTTTTCAGGAAATTTTGCTGGTGAGCTTTTTAAACAAGCATTCTGACAAGATATCCTGTAATACAGAAAAGTAGTGAGAGGTATAAGAGTACACACAAAGAGAATGACTGTTAGAGTTTCAGAGGCAAGATTGATATGATGTGTGTGGTCAACTGCAAGCAGATTTCTATGATTTAAATGTGGGAAACATTTTCAACAAGTAACATACAATTATATCTTTAAATATGAAAGCAATAGTATTTGATAGACGTCTTTACTTTGTGTTTGCTGGGGAATTTAATAAGCCTCTGAATGTCTCTGAGGAAAAAGTTAAATTAGAATTTGAAGACTGTGATTGCAATAGGAATATGCAAGACGGTTTGAGAGGGGAGAAAGGCGAGATAACTTCTTTATGCTCTGAATTTTCTCCTGTAATTCTAGCTGTATCTCTTAGTTCTGTTTCACTTTTTTTTTTATTATTCATTAAGGAAACACCTTATTTCTGTATAAGAGGAATACCGGGCTCATATTTATCAAAATATAATACTAATTTACAAACACTAATTTGCATTTGTTGGGGAGGTTAAGGATGTTAATGATTCACTAAATTCAGGAGAATTAAAGTTCAATTTTCATTTGATCTTCTTCAAACATTAAGATTAATTAACTAACATTAAATAAATGCAGATTTTCTATCTCTAAAATGTTAAGCTCTTCCAGAGAAATACCATATAAAAGTGCATGTTCATTTATTTATATCTCCTGATCCTACAAAGTATTAATCAGCTTATAAGAACATATACAATAAAATGATCAAATGTAAGTAGATAAAAAATTGCCACCAAAAATACAGGTCAGGACCAAGGAAAACCTTAAAAGATAGAAAGACATGGAGATCGGTGTCATAGTAAGTTATTAAAGTTGATCTTCACACATTGTTTGAATTCCTGAGAGCTCAAAATTGAATGGGAATTTTAGTCGGTAATGGTTCTCGATATTTTAATTTCCAAGACATTTCAATGTCTTTTAGGAAAATACTTTTTCCCCCCAGCAGCTTAAGTCTGAAAATTTTTCTCGTAGTGGTGCTCAGGTAGGAAATAGAACAGAAGGAAAATAATAAGGCTTCTCCGAGAAAACGCCAAATGGCGATGACGCAGGCGCGGCGGGAGGCCCGGAGGCGGTGGCGGGGCGGGGTCGTGGCCTTGGTCCGGCCAGCCGAGGCCCTGCAGCTCACGGAGACAAGGCCGAGGACAAGGCGCGAGTGCCCGTCACCAAGCTGGGCCACCTGGTTAAGAACATGAAGATCAAGTCCCTGGAGGAGATCTGTCTCTTCTCCTTGTCCATCGAGGAGTCCGAGATCATTGACCTTTTCCTGGCGGCATCTCTCAAAGGTGAGGTTTTGAAGATTATGCCGGTGCAAAAGCAGACCCGTGCTGGCCAGGGACGGGATTCAAGGCGTTTGTTGCCATTGGGGACTACAATCGGGGCCACGCAGGTTTGGGTGTTAAGTGACCCAAGGACGTAGCCACTGCCATCCGAGGGGCCATCATCCTGACCAAGCTCTCCATTGTCCCTGTGCACAGAGGATACGGGGGGACTAAGATCAGCAAGCCCCACACCGTCCCTTCCAAGGTCACAGGCCTCCGTGGCTCTGCGCTGGTACGTCCCATGCCTGCCCCTAGGGGAACTGTCATCTCTCAGCCCCTGGGCCCAAGAAGTTGCTGATGACCGCTAGTTATGGATACCTGCTACACCTCAGCCAGGGGCTGCACTGCCACCCTGGGCAACTTCGCAACGGCCACTTTGGATGCCATCTCCAAGACCTACAGCTATCTGACTCCTGACCTCTGGAAAGAGACGGTATTCACCAAGTCTCCCTACCAGAAATTCACTGACCGTCTTGTCAAGACCCACACCAGAGTCTCTGTGCAGGGGACCCAGGCCCCAGCTGTGGATACAACATAGCATTTTTATACAAGAACAATCAAGTGAATTAAGCCTGTTAAAAAAAAAGAAAAGAATAAAAATAAAAATAA